CATAGGGAAATGTAGATATAATGTCACGTTGGGTGACTAGAAATAGTAGCACAAACGTAATGTAATCATATATGTAACAGTAATGCAAAAAGCTAATAAAATATAGGTTACAATTTGGCATTTAAAAAAAAAAAAAAAAAAAAAAAAAAAATAATAATTTAAACCAATCAGAATGCATTATTATGCTCATGTGATTATTTTGAGATCTACAAAACAACTACCAAAAACTTAAATCATATAATTTATACAATCACTAATTTTATCAATAGTTTATTATACTGTCATTGAGCTAGCAAGTAATATAACAATTAGATGCTATAGTTGTGATGCAAATCTAGGCTTTTGGTGGCTGTTCTGTAGATCTTGTAATAGCATATATTGAATAAGAAAAACTCTATAGAATTTACAGGTTGTTTTTTTGTAACACTTGGGATGCTCTCAAGCATTTCTTAATGTAATTGGTTAGCTATAAAGATCATGTACAAGTATAATAAATTGAAGTAATTTGATAATTTTGCCAAAGGTTTATGTTGCGAAATGTGGATATTAAATTTTAGTAATCAGTGCAATACTATAATAAAAAAAGATGGTCTCAGACCATCTTTTTTTTTATTATAATAATGAACTTGCTTGACTAAAAAATTTATTTTTTACTAATCAATTTAGGTGCTTGAGAGTACTCTTAATATATATAGATTGGTTATTAAATACATTTAGATTTTATTTTTATTTAAATATAACACTTTTAAATACTAAGCACCACATTATTAACAAATTTAATATTAATTTATGCTCTTATATGTTAAATAAAATTGATTTAGTTGGAGTTCAAAAACCAACTTATTATATTTGAATTATTTTGAGATTTAAAAAACTATATATGTTTGCAATACAAATGAAAAATAAATTCAATTTTTAAATATTAAATTCAATATCTGTTAAAATTGTAATAAAACATAAAATTTCATTATTAATTAATAATTTATTTAGCTTACAATAAATAATAAATAAAATTAAATATTTACTATTCAATATGTTTTATAGTCCTATCTAATTGTCAATCTGATTTTCTAAAAAAAAACATAATTAATTAAATTACAATATGGTATATGTGCAAAAAAAGTATTAATTTTCAAATTCATATCTTTTTAGTATCATAATGCCTCATTCAAATACCAAATCTTACATTGTATCTAGCAAGATCTGTAATAAAGCTAGTGTCTTTATAGCTAATCCTAAAGATATAAATAATATAAAAAAAAATATGAATACTTTGAAAGACTAAGAGTTATTTGAAATAACATATAATAGCTTTCAAAATTATGCATTAAAAACTATAAAATGACATGAAAAAGCTTATAAAAAATTGAAATATACTTTTTATACTAGTACAATTAAAAGCTATTTTGGTACTTTAACATTGATTTTTAATATAAAACTGCTGAAATACCTTACAGTTTCATATTAAAAATCAATATCAAAATATCAAAACAGTTTTTACAAAATATATATCTTAAATCTTTATACTAATAATAAAATTTTAGAAAACTTAAGAACAAACCTTTGAAAAAAAAAGAAGGCCTAGGAACAACTTCAACACAAAGCTAAACAGATGCGAACTCTTAATGAAATATAAAGCATAAAGGCATGAGATAAAGGAAAAGCCTAAGTCTTATTATACCATGAAGATATTTTAGCCCAATCTAAACAACAAATGCAATGAATAGAGAAGCATTATAACAAATTAAAAAATCAACTTCAAAGTCTTCAAAATGCTAAAAAAAATTTAGCTAAATTACAACCTTATAAAGTACAAAGGTTGACTTCTATTTTTTATTATTATAGGTTATTACTAGATAATAAAAAAAAAATAAGTGCATCAGAAAAAATTGTAGATACTTTATGAAAAGATATTCAGAATACTGAATATATATCTTATTGCATTAGAGAATGGGTAAAAGACTTTCTTGAACAAGGTACCTTACCTAAACATCAACAGAGAAAACATGCAAAAAGAAAATTGTTGCTTGATAATAAGGATCTTAAACTGGCAGCTTGTACCTGGTTACATTCTATTCTATCAAAAGATTTTTCTTCTTTAGTATTAAAGAAAGAATTAGAAACAAATATTTTTCCTAAATTGCTTAGAGTACTGATCACTATTTTGGAAACTACTACATAAAAATTTATGCACTTATAAGGTTTTTACAAAAAAACTATAAGGCAATAGGTATATAAGATCATGCAAAATTACTTATTGGTTTTTCATGTTCATGCCAGGCCAAAATTTGGAAAAATTTTAATAACTGAATGGATTTTAAAATTTTTGTATAAAAAAAAAAAAATCTGGCCAACTGTATCTATTTAAAAGTTTCATATTATAAAAGCTAAATAATTAAATTTGTATAGCTTATTATTATTATTATTATTTTATTTATTTATTTTTTTTTAAATTGCTTGATACTTTTTAGGTTTATTTCAATAGTCATGAACAGAAAGACATGCAAGAATATTATAAAGGATAGGTGATAAGAATGATAAATTATTAAAAAAAAATAGAACAATATGATGATAATGAGATAAAAAATATTATATCTCCAGAATGGTTTGAAATTTAAGATATGCAATATGTTTTGGTTATTTACGATGAAGTTTCTTTTATGATAATGATGACAATTCATCCTTTTGGATTGAAGATAAAGAGTCTATTATCAAGAAAAAAGGCCAAGAGTTAGCAATTATAGTTGTAACTACTTGTGTGCATGCCATGGCACTTTGTGCCTTACAGAAGCTGATGCTATATGACTTAGGTTGAACCAAGAGGCCTGAGTTATTATAAAACTGAAACAACAAGCTAATAGTTATTGAAAAAATAAAAATATGATTAAACAGCTTTGTAAAAAGGCAATTCTGATTTTTAATGCTCTTCATCCAGGATACATAAGCATAGTTTTAAATTTGACTATTGTTTTCTAATTATTTTTTTTTTAATTTTTTTTATTTATTCTTTTTTTTTGTTTTTTGTTTTTTTTTTGAAAGTGTATTCTGCTTTGATCAGAGTATTAACCATAATGCATACACACTTGATGCATTCGTATATTTTAGAATAACTATACATCCTAAAGTTGAAGATAAATTTAAGTTTAAGGATGGTTGGTTTATTTATAATTATGAAAAAATTACACAATCTATGTTTTTTTTAAATAAAAATGATGGTATCATAAAGTTTAAGAAGATTAAAAAGGTATATAAAGAATTTTATATTTTTTTTTTATCTTTTTTTTTTTATCTTTTTTTTTTATCTTTTTTTTTTATTTTTTTTTTTTTATCTTATTTTTTTATCTTTTTTTTTTTATCTTTTTTTTTTATTATTTTTTCTTTACTATATATCTTAGATTCTGGAAGAACAGAGGATGTAAACTAGTCAGAGATTGGATTGTAAAAGAAAGAAGGATGATGAAAAGGGTAAAAGAAGAAATTTTGTATCATAAAGTTAATAATTAATATAAATTTTTTTTTTAGTTTCAAATTGTTACACAAGACATATACTTACAATGAAACCAGATTTATTGAAACAAAAGACTTCAATTGCAGAGACTATTGAAGCTGTTAGGCATATTTTTGAATTATATCCAAAATTTTATTGCAAATGCAACTTTATCAAACATTTTTGGAGTGCTGCTAAATGAATCATCTGTTAGCAATATGATTATTCTTATACTTAGCTACAACTTTGTGTATTAGAAATACTCAACAATTACTATTAGCTATGGTTAGATGATTTAGCCAAAAGGCTTAAAGGTATATTGAAGCATATGCAACAGGTTTAGAAAAAAAAGATGCAGATAGGGCTGTAAAATAGTTTAAATTGCATAGTTAATTTCAGGTAGATGAATAAGTAGGAACAATCACCAAATTGTGCAAGAAAAGATCAATAGAGACCTATATAACATTTTAAATTAATAAATTTAACTGTTCTATGATTAACTATTTATAAGCCAATTTGTAATTTATTAGCAGTATTTGAGAGTTTTTGAATCAACTTTACAACAGATATAGTATACTACTAATTCAAATGTTTTTTTTTTTTTTTAAAAAAAAAAAACTGCTTTAAAAAGAAGTATTTGTCTACCAGAAAAAAAAGAGCTGCTTTTAAAAGAAAAGTCATCTGCCATAGTGTATTATAAAAGACAAAAAAATGCTACAAAGTATATGCATTAAAAATTGATTACTTGTTGCACTATACAAGTACTTACACCTAAGGCAAATGGTATTGTAATCATGTCTATTCACTATATAGTGTAATGATTAGAAACTGATCAATGACGCATTAAACCTAAAGAGATCGATTGCATAATTGTTTAACAAACATACGTAGCATAGTTAGTAGATTTAGCAGAAACTGCATATACAGTAGATTTAGAATAACTAGCATATTTAGAGTAACTAGCATATTTAGAATAACTAGCATATTTAGCAGATATGTAAATAATATATAAAGCACAAAGCATTTGTAAGGAGAAACATAATCTACATATACTCTAATAAAGCATACACTCTGCCAAATCCACGTCCTTTTTCGTAGTAGTATCATTTAATGTTACACAAGCCGACCTGGGATACCCTATGAATAGGAATTTTTAAGCAAGCAATTATTCAGAGTATTACAATAGATAAGTAAAAAAAAATTGTTTTGTGTCTGTTTTCTAAAAAAACAAAAAAACAAAACATGCTCAAATTTGATTGAATATAAATACATCATATGATTTTCTGTCAAAAGTAAACAAAATTATATGATTGGAGATTTAAAGCTGCTAGCATCATATTATATTATTTGTATAGTTGTTATTGTTTCTAGTTATGGTTTTTATTGTTTTGCTATGTGTAATATATAATGTCATTGTGTATTTTGTTAGAGTAAGCTGTTTTGCCCACTTTTTAAACTTTTTGCATAATGTTCAAAAGAGTTTAAAAAGTTGAAATATTTTTTTTTGATTAAATATAGGTTGTTTTTATGTTATTATTGTTCTGCTTTGTCTCATAATTATTCATATCTTGTTTATTGCTTTTTGGTGCATATACAGGTATATATTCTATTTTTTGTTCTTGGAATAAGTTAACTTTTACCAAGTCTCCAAAAGACTGGTTTTTGATTTTGTTAGCTTTAATGCTTATTTTATTAATTAGTATAGTAGTTGATGTTGTTGTAAGAGTTTGTTTTTTGTATTTGTGCTTGTTTCTTTATATATTATTTAATATCTAAAAACTTAATAATTATAATTTTTTTTATAATACTAAATTATAAATACTTTATTCAATTAATATCAAATTAATATTAAACTCTTTTTATAAATTCTTTATATACAAAAAAAACTAAAAATTCATCAGTAATAAAATCGCTAATACCTAGTTATTTTATTAAGATAACCAACTTTGGTGTCTTAAATAAACTTGTTTAGCTTCTAATATTATATATACTCAGAAAGTTTCAAGTCTATAACTTTTGAACTTAATGTTTAACATTGCCAAAACAACTTTTGGTTTTCACTATTAAATTTTTAACTATTTCTTATAAAGTATCTTGTCAATCTATTTTACAGTTATAAGAAAAGTTGTAAAGCACTCTCTTTTGATCAAAACAAGACCAAAAATAAGCTTGTAGATCTAAAATTGACAGAATTATAATAGAAAACATTTTTAACTTCTCTGTATTTTTTATTTTTTTTTTTTAATTCTTTTGTCTTTATTCTTAAATTTTTTCTTCGAAACATTTTTCATATAATTTCAAATCATTTTCAAAATTGGTTCATTTAATTTCACATTGTGTAAATTAAATTTATCTAAAAAAGAAATTTATTTGTTACAAATTATCTTATACTAACTTGCTAAAAATAAATTTTGTACTCAATTACACAATAGTTACTGTAATATATAACTATTTATAAATTTGTATACATTAACCACACTAGCTATACCAGTCACAAATTTGTGTTACCCAGATTACACAAGGTTACACAAACTGCAGCAGCCATAGTAGTCATAGTAAAACTCTTGCAAATACAAGTTATACTTTGCAATTAATCTTATATTATAATTAAACTTGAAAAAACTTTAATCAAAGATTACAAAAAACTTCACTAAATAAACCAAACTTAGACTTTTAAGTAAACTTATAGTACTATGTCTACTCTTAGTACAGAAGCATCAGATACCTTAGATCTTGACTATTTCTTTAAGAATCATACAAGTTCCTATAGCATCACTATCGATAAAAAAGAATCTAAACAAGTAAGAGCTATTCTGGACAAATACAGACCTACTAAATATATTATCATAGAATTTAGAACTCATCTAGCAACTCATTTTTTTTCTGCTTCTATGACAACTGCAACAATTAAGTGTATGTATAGATTATTCTACACTTAATTCATTGCAAAAAATAATAAAATATATGAACTTAACACTAAAACTGATGAAACAACAACCAACAAACAAGCTAAAAAACTTTAACAAGCACTTGTGAAATCTAAATCAAAAGTCTACTATCTTTTACAGCCATTATCCATACACACACTTGTCCCAAATGCCAAATTCTAATAAATTGTAAAGTGACTAATAATAACTACATACTACAAAATAAATCTACTTTTTACCAAAACACAACATATCATAACAACTAACTACTAAAATTTATAAAGAAACTATCTTAGCCAATTAACCCAAATTTCAATCTACTGAAAACTCTAAACAAAGTCCATTTTTATAATATAAACTTCCAACTCAACAGCTTATTATTTCTTTACTTAATCAAAATACAAACAATTCTCTTGTTTCAAAACTTGTATTTACTTTATTTAACTTTGAAGAAACAACTATTACTAACAATGATATGGACATTGATAGCTCTATCACATCATCTAAATTACAACAATAACAGCTACAAATTCAACAAACACAATAACAATAACAACAACAACTCTTATATCAAGCTTCACTACTTTTATATAAACAACAGTCTAACAAAAAACTACCTTAAAAATCTTAACTGGCTTAATCTTACAGTCAAGCAACAAGACCCAAACTCAACCTATTATATGATTTCTTAGCAAACTTATCAGTTACTAATAAAATGCAAAACTATACAAAATTACAAATAGAAATATCCCAAAAACTCTTTAACTT